GACAGGGACAGAGAGGCAGAAGCCAGTGTCATGAGAGCAGTGCTCCTGTCATGTTAGCCTGCCCAGCCACTTCCAAAGCGTCAGACAAAGAGGGGGCAGGCGGCATGGCACAGCACCACTGCTTTGCTGGCGAAGCCCAGCCCGCGCTTCCAGCTCCAGCAGCTTCACACACAGCTTCGTTCAAACCACCCCATTTCTCCTGCAAACTAAGCAGCCAAAGTGTGGCACATCCAAATAAATTATTTTTTTAGTTTGCATTAGCATTTCCCCTCACCAAAGTCAGTTGTTTTATATCTAATTTCAGCTGCCTCACTGCCCAGTTCTTGCACAGAGTTCCATGGGGTTTTAAAGTTGTCTTTATTTATTTAGGACATTTTTTTTCTTTTGCAGTGTTAAGACTCCCGTTTTCCTGAGGGTTTCAGGTCAAGTGCATTGCTTGTTCCAGTGCATAGCATGTGGCATGTTTATCTGTAGCAGAGAAATTACTTTCTTTTTGAGCAAGCATGTACCAAGAGGTAATTGAGCACATTGTTCATTCAAGGTTATCTGCTCTCATGAAGCTTGGATAAAATCAGATAAGCAATGATTGTTTCCCCCACCTAAACTGCTTCCCAGCCATATCTTGTAAATCATTATGTACAATGCACAGAAGCACAAATAGGCCAAAACAAGGGAAAGCCAACAACAACAACAACAACCCTGGCCTGTGAGGAAGAGTAAATCCAGTTAGGATTCTTGGACTTGATGTGCTGCTTTCCCTCTGCCATGTGTAGGCTGCTTGGGCTGGTCTAATGGGCTCATCTGTCTTAGTCCTGGTTTGTGCTTTGGCGTGGCGGGGAAACGAGCCTGTGTTTAAGCTCAGCGAGTTCTGAGCCATGTTTGCAGTCGCCATGCTGACCCTCAGCACCGTGGTACTTGCATGCCAAGCTACAGACCGTGCGTTGCAAGAGCTGCACTGGGGGATGGGGCGAAAGGGTGCGAGAGGCATGGGGGTCCCCAGCAGCGGTCCCACGGTCTGGCCAGGGCCAGGAGGGTTCCCCCTCTCTGATGGGTTGCTGTTGTCATGCAGAGTCCATGAGACTCCCCCTCCAGGAGAAGGGATGGGACTAAACCATGCAATTGCACTAGCAGCAACAAGAGGCAGCCAAAGCTCAGTTGTGAGCTGCTCCATGCCGCAATGCCGCCTGACAGCCTGTCCCGAGCTTGCCGCAGTAGGTGCCACAAGGCAATGGCTGCTTTATTTTCATACTGATAGAGATCTGGCTGGCATCTAACAGCAGAAGGAGTAGTTGCATCAGCGGGAAATAAGGCTCTCGTCAGGGAAAGGTGCTAGAAACCTCCCCTGGAAGCTGTTATGGAGAGGAACATTTTCCAAAACAGAGGTGCAGCCCTTCAGCTGGTACTGTGACTGGACAGTTTGTGTTACCGTCTGCTCTCGTTAGAAAGAAGACGAGTTCGGCAAAGCAATGCGGACAAGCGTGGTGCAGCGACGACTGCTTGTGTCTGCAGAGGGACCGAGCTGCAAGCGAGCGGCTCCCCTGCTCATCCCTTACTTTCCAGCCTCCCAGCAGGGATGGGGGCTGCAGCACATCCTCGGTCACCCCTTCGGAGGAACTGTTTCTTGAGCCCGGCGCTGTGCTCTGGACGCCGCTCACAGTCGCTGCCTTTGCAACTGCTGCAGTTTTACCATCTGTCCGGTGCTGGGCTCCCTCCAGACAGTGTTTTTCTCCGAAGGACTTACCCTGAGCTCCCTCTGCTCAGCAGAGGGCAGCAGCAGGAAAAGACACTGGGTTTGATGGCAGGTGCATCTTGGAGAAAGCTCTGAGTCCTGCTTTCCCAGGCTCAGCATGCCTCGTGCTGCCTTTTAGACTGCTATTGCCCACTGCTATAACTTGGTGTAACCATTACTAGAGATGTGACTTAAGATGCTGCCAACCCAGAGTCCCCACTGTTTTACTGTCCCTGGCTTGCTGGAATAAACCATATTGCAAGCTCCTTTTATCTGATTCATCTCTCCAGTTTCCTTGAAAACAGATCACACTAAATTCCTGCAAAGTTCACATTTCAGAGACATAAAAGTGAAAGAGGATTTTAAGAGCCTGCTGCGGCAGCTCAGCCAACCCCAGAGAAATGTGGGAACTCCGCGCATTCCTCCTTTGGTACAGAAACCATCAGGCTGATGGGGCCATACAAGTTTCATCCTGTTCAGAAATGGGTCCTATGAATTCATCATGCAGGATGATAACGGCAAATACACAGAGCTCCATGAAATGTCCTCTTCCCAGATGAGTGAGATAGGGATTTCTTTGATCTGAAAGTCCTGTGTTAGGGAGGAGGGTTGCATTCTCTTCTCAGGTTCTGCTTTCAGCAGATGGCAGCGACGAACGTAGGAAACATTCAGTCAACATCTGGGATCTTAATCATGAGTTTTGCAAGTGCCATGGCTGGTTTGAGGGGGTGCCAAGCACGCAACAGTGTGTGTAGGCACACACAGAAGCATGTGCAAGCCTGACACCGGGTGTGTGTGTGTGTGTGTGTGTGTGTGTGTGTGTCTGTCTGTCTGTCTGTCTGTCTGTCTGTCTGTCTGTCTGTCTGTCTGTATCCGTGCACTGGTGTGCATGCACGAGCTTTGCACCTGACAAAGCTCAGGGGGTTGTAAAACAGAAACCTGCACAATATCTTGGAGAAAAAAAACAATCTCCTGAAACATTGTTTCCCATGATGCTGCAGCTCATACCAACTTTCTCTCAGCCAGGTCAGGTCAGATCCTGGCTGCCGCAGCTCATTAACCTGATGTTCAGGACCATCTCTTGCACGGCACAATTCAGTGCTGCTTTGTGCCACTCGCAGCAGCAAACTGGTCCTAAAGGCTTACCATATCCTGGCAGGGCAGAAAGAGTGGATCTCCTTCACAGGTAGTACCAGCAGAGCCTGCACTTCACAGCCCATGCGATTCTGGCTTATTAACTTGCAATTTCTAAGCAGAGCTCGCCAAAGTATGACCAAGTCTCACCATTTTATCCCAGCCTTTAGGACACCTTATAAAGTCCCAGGTTCTGGAATCAGGTGACAATGAGATAATCTTCACCTAAAAAAGTGACACACCTTTTTTTTTTTTTTTCCTAAAAGAAAGCATGAATCCTAAGGGTCCAAGAAGAGACAGAAAATGGAATAACCTTATTTATTTCTTATCTCTTGCTTGATAAGCCAGTTTTGTGATGTTTTGGGAGCCTTCATCTATTAGTGGCTGGCAGTGGTGCAGGAAGGATCACAGGTTTTACTCGTAGTCGTAGCAGAATGAAAGGAGCAGGATGCTCGGACTTTGCCCTATTTGTCTGTGGTATTTTAATAAGGAGCAGAGAAAGGCTCGGTGCTGCCTGACTAATCCCGTCAAAGAGGGAAGGCTGCTCTCTGCAGGCCGTGGAACAACACGAGATGCCTGGTGTCGGTCTTGTACAACTTCCAAAAACGCAAACCCAGAAGAGCCCTCAGGGAGTGTTGTTAGCCAATAATTTACTTTAATTAAGTAAAAGTTATGTTATTAATATCATTTAAACATGTTCTCAGTAGATTAGTACCTTCCATTGGCTGGATGTGTTTGTGCAGCCACTCAAGGCTTTGTATATGTCATGGCTTTAGTCTCCTGTTTTTCAAGAGCTTCCAGTGGCCACGCTGAAATAACGTCATGAGCATGGGCCATTACCTTGTATCCCACAAATAAATATATCGGGATTAATTGGGAGTTGCTATCCAGTTCCCCCTGATTTTATGATAAGATGAGGCGTTAAGTGGACAGGAGGATACGAAATTGCCCTGTTCAGGCAAATGAATCTACTTCCATTTTGCACCGTGGTTTGCACCTGCAAGAGCGGAAGCCGGTGGTGATGGAGGGGCCAGGCCGGACCCGCAACGGTGGGGGATGGTGCGAGCCGGGCTCAATGCAGGGTCCTCTCCTGTTCGCCTCTGCTCCGTGCCCTGCTGCAGCAGGCATCCTCCTGTCACGTCCTCTCTAACCCACTCAACTGAAATAACAGCCAAGGGCCCACTCCCCCTCTCTCCCTGACCGTATGAATAATTCTTTTCAAGTACAGAGATTTCCTGCAGGAACAAAGGAGGCATTGAAATTGTGGCTTCTGCTCACACATCCCTGGTCTGTCTTGCCTTTTGATGTTTCACTCTTCTGTGCCAGACCGGGCGCTGTCCCCTCCTTCCCGTGCACTCTGGGTGCGAAGGCAGCTGCAGGCAGCAGGGCTAGTGCAGAAATACCAAGGAAAGGGGATCTGAGGGCTCCTGGGCCCTGTTTCCACTAAGCCCTGGGGCTTGGTGCCACCTGGGTGGTGGTGGCGATGTTCTAGGACTGCAGCGGTTCCTTGACCCCCTGCTCGGGCAGTGGCCACAGATGTTCACCGCCTCCCCCTCCAATGCAGCCTATCCATTTCAGGCTTTTCTAGCATCAGATTTTTGCAGCCCTGTGCTTTTGCCCTGACTTCGATATAGCCTGGTGTCAAGAAGGTTTCCACACTGTTGCTATCAGGATGGATTCAGGTACTGAGTGTTTCCTTAAACTCGTTTCTGCCCCAACTGCTCTTGAATGCAGACTGAGTTCATGCTCCTCACTTGCACCCGCTGTAGGAGCGGGATACTTGCCTCAGTTTTCTAAGGGAGATGTTCTGTGTTATTCCCCTATTAAAGGCCTCATTGATCATTCTTTCTGTGTTATTCTGCTCAGCAGAGCTCATCACAGATGAGACAAATGCATCTTTTGGTCGATAGGGACTAGGCAGATAAAAACACTCCCAAAATATATATAAAGCCAAAGCTTGCACAAACAGAGCTGGTCGTTAACAAGCTACTTAGGACAAGGCAAATTGGGGATTACTGTATTAAGTACAACAAGCAGAGTTGCTGAGCTGGAAAAGGGATTTTAGCTCCTACAGACATGTCAAGTCTCATGCATTATGTGTGACGTTTATTTGGCTCCTGCCTCCTGTCCTCCCCAGTGGTATCTGCACCTCATCCCTTGCAATGCACCTCTGCGGCCTGATCCCAGCAATGACGCCATACCAGCTAGGGGGTCCCGGATCCCCCGAGGAGACTACAGAGGAGAGTCAGCCTGCCTGGCCCCTGCCCATCACATGAACTGAGCTGAGCTGCCTGTCGTAGGAACCCAAAGTCCAACCGGAAAAGACGAGAACTATTTCTGCTACAGGAAATGTGCCAGAGGTATGAACAGAAACGACAAATCACGTTCCCTACCATGCATGCTAAAAATTGTCCTCCTGACTGCGGCACATTAGCAGAAACACCCTGGTTAATGTATCAGAGCGTGGCTTCTAAGCCAGCTGGGAAGGAAGTGCAGAAGTGGATCCAAGAGACTTTGTGGTTACAGCAGAGGCTTTGTGCAGCATCTGCAGCACATGCATCAGCGAGAGCAGAGTCAATGCGCTCTTCTGGCCACAAGTTAGCATTTACAAGCTGCCAGTCGGGGGGCCGTGATGGTCTGCCCTTCTGAGCACCATCACTCGCCAACAATCACACCCCATGCAGGAGGTTGCTTTCCATCACAGTCAACAGCTCACTTAAATCGACAGTTTGCCATGGAGCTAAATCAAAAGGAGAAGGAGGGTGCCCCGGTTAGATTTACAGAACAATGAATTTATGGCTGCATCCAGTTGCCCCAGAACTGCTTCTCTTTTCCACTGTGACTTTTTCTAACTTTCATCCACCAGATTGCATCTGGCCACCTTTTGCCATGCTCAGGAGCTATTTCCCAGCTGTGGAGACATTCAAGAAGCACAAAAGTTTCCTCTTGACCTCATCTTCCACAGTCAAATAATTTATATCCCTCTGACTCTAGTAAAATATTTATATCCCAGCCAAACCGGTGACAACGATTCAGCAGGAAAGTCAGAAGCAATAATTACTTAAGTTGACAACCTCTAAGTGACCAAGTTCAGGGCCTGAGCCACAGATCAGCCACTTACTTGCAGCCTCTGCATGCTGATAGAGTTAACAGGGACGCTTAAGAAAGTGTTGACCCCAGCTGGAATTGCAGCTGTAGCAAAGTCAGCAAGTAAGAAAAATCCTCTTCCAGCATCACTGCAGTCTAACATGTGAACCATGATGTTGGGTTAGCTGGAGGATCCGGAGGCTTTGGGGATCTGTCTCCAACAGCGTTTTCCTTAAACTGCCAGTGAAAGTGGCTTTGCCTCAAGACACCAGACTGTGAACAGGAATGGCTGTGGTCAACCCATGGTCCCTTCTGCAGCTCTGCTGTTGCATGGTAACACGTTGTGCAACGAGCTCTCCGGGTCTCCCTGGCTGAGTTCCCGCAAACTGTCCCACACAATTACACACGCTGCTCGCTCTGCCTCGGATTCTGCAAAGCCTATAGGCCTCAGGAGTAAATCATAGCTAAATCCCTGGCAGTATTTAAAAAAACAACTATCTCTGATTCCAGTTCATTACTGGAATGAAAAAGCATCATTGCCAGAGCTTAGCTGGAAGTGCTTTCTGTCTTCAGATCGATATTTCACCTGAGACTGATGCACGCTGTATCCAGAGAAGAAATTCCACTTCTGTCTTCTCTGGCATGGTGCAGCCACCTGTCACCCGCCGTTCCTCAACATAAAGCTTGGATTTTTGCTGAGCCAGCATTTCTGCCCACCACTGGGTCATTGGTATAATTGTAACTGGCATGACATTCCCCAACATGTGTAACCTAAAGGGCAGCCTGGTCAGAGAAAATGTCTGCTTAGTTTCCCCCAATGTAAATCTTGCTGCCAGCTCTGAATCCATTAATAATTTTAATGCTGGATTCAGAGGAATGGAGGAAGAGCAGAGAAGATGGATTCCTGCAAAAAAATCGGTGCTCAGGAGCAAAGGGCTCTCAGAAATGTTCCTCTGCACACCAAGAGAGAAGCAAGATGTAATAGTGTTTGCTCACTTAGAGCTGAACAGCACACTGGAGAGCATCGCTGCATGGGGAAAAGCTGCCGTATCCTTATACCTGCTATTAACTTACTTTTAATACGTACAGACCACAAGTTCCCATCCCCACTTGACCTTTCAAACAACTGTATTTAATTGTTTCTAAACAACATGAAATTGGTTTCAATTAGAGGCTAATGTGATTACCTAGGCCTCCATAAAAATAAAAAAATTGCAAAGAACAAATGAAGTAATTCACCAGGGCTGAAGAAGGTAACTGTGTCTTGATAATTGCCTGGTGTTAACAGTGCGGGGAAGAAAAACCTCTCGGCTCCCTGTTGCTGGGAGGAAACACTCATTTGCTGAGCCTGGGCTATGGAAAAATCTCATCTGCGTGTTAATTACTGTGGAAAGTGCAAGTGGAGGCTGAGCCCTCTGCGTCCTGGACTCCGCGGTTACTTCAGACCCTCAGCAAGGAGGGCGGGCGATTGCACCGGCCCGGCAAGCTCATGCATCGCCTTCTTGTTGGAGCACGACTGCTCGTCCCAGGGCTAGCAAGCGTGCTCTGAGCACCCACTGCTTGATGCACTCGTCTCAGTGGGGCACGTGTGGGAAGGGCAGGGATGAGCCAGGTCACCACTGTGCCCAGGGGCCTTTCCACCTCCCCTGTCAGCTCCTGCCTGAGCACACCTCCGGCTGCACCTTGCCTGGCGCTAGCAACTCTGCCGGTAATTGGCGTGTGCCGTGGAGGGGATAATCCCGCTGGGACAGATGCTTGGCATCACCGCGTTGCTGCAGGGAGGAGAGGGAAGAAGAAGGATTAGCCGTTTTAATGCATTTAATCTTAGGAGCTGTCTTCTCCGCAGAGCTCTGCGACCTCGAGAGCCTGTGGAGATCCCTTCCCTTTCATCCTTTGCCACCTCGGGGAATTCGCTCTGGAAGTTCAGCCTGTGCCTTCAGGGCGCGCTGGCCTCAGAGTCAGCGTTGGGTTTCAGCCCCCCAGCTCGTTCGCCCGAGCTGCAGAGCCCGTTTCCGTGGCCTGAACTCCCCGCCACGCGGAGGGGCAGCAAATGGCCGTTTCTTCCCATTCCTTCCCTCTCCTGCGGGGTGAAACGAGGGCAGGCGCTGCCCCCGACCCTGCTGAGCCGCTCCTGCGGGGCGAAGGAAGGCGAGGGAGCGTTCCCGGGGACCGGCCGGTGGGAGCCCCGCTCTGTCCAGCCCTGCCCTGCCCCACATGCGAGGCTCTGCTGTCCCTTCCTGTCCCCTCCCCTCCCGTGGTCTCCC